CACCTGGTCCTTACTTTAGATGAGGGTGGTATTGGTGCTGTCTCTTATACACATCTAGATGTGTATAAGAGACAGGAGAGAGAGAGAGAGAGAGAGAGAGAGAGAGAGGCAGCCTGCAGCTGGTGCAGTTGTGCTTTGTTGTCCTATTTGTTTTGAATGTGTGGTTTGGTCGAGTGTGGGCTGCAGAACTAAGTGAGTGTTCAATTTGGTGATTATGGTTGGGTTGTGCAGAATATGATGGAGAGGGACATTGCCAACCAGTGGGGGAGACACATGCATGCATGGTCTTCTCAACCATTCTTTAAATCTTAGAGCTATGAGGCAGCCTTCAGATCGAAAGGTGCTTTGTTTCACTTGCACTGATCGAGGTTGCATCGTGTTCGAAACCAAGCAGGCGGTCTGCATTGTGCGGCGCATTCTGCAGATATGTGACTATAGCAGAGCGGCCAGGTTCTGTTGGGGGTAAGTTTTGTTTTATTGCATTTCTCCATGACTAGCTCCAACGGCCAGCTGCTGGCATTTTTTCTTTAAAGTGGCTGTGCATTATATCCTGCTGATCCCAAACAAACCCCCCAGCACAGAACCATGGTTATCCAAAAGGAGCGTATCTCATACTTTTATGAGAGTGAGGTTGGTGGTGCGTATTATGGTCCCAACCATCCAATGAAGCCCCATCGAATCTGCATGACCCATAGCTTGATCCTTGCATATGGGCTGCACAAGCGAATGGAGATGTATCGTCCTCACAGAGCGTACCCTGTGGAGATGGCCCAGTTTCACTCTGCCGATTACGTGGACTTTTTGCACAGGATAACTCCAGAAACCCAAGATCACTATGCGAAAGAGATTGCACGATACAACCTTGGAGAAGACTGCCCAGTGTTTGACGGTTTGTTCGAGTTCTGCAGAGTGTACACTGGAGGAACAATTGATGCTGCGCACCGACTGAACCACGGCATGTGCGACATTGCAATCAATTGGTCAGGAGGACTTCATCATGCCAAAAAGTTTGAGGCGTCCGGGTTTTGCTACATCAACGATCTTGTGCTGGGGATTCTGGAATTGCTCAAGCATCACGCAAGGGTGCTGTATGTTGACATCGACATACACCATGGGGACGGGGTCGAGGAGGCCTTTTACCACACAGATCGCGTCATGACAGTGAGCTTCCATAAGTATGGAGATGCATTTTTCCCCGGCACAGGAGACGTGAAAGACATAGGGGAGAAGGAGGGAAAGTACTATGCTGTGAATGTCCCATTCAAGGACGGCGTTGACGATGGCTGCTTCTTGAGAATGTTCAAGCCCATCATGCAGAAGGTGATGGAGATTTACAGGCCGGGAGCAGTTGTTCTGCAATGCGGAGCGGATTCACTCGCGGGGGATCGTCTTGGCTGCTTTAGTCTATCGCTGGATGGTCATGCAGAGTGTGTAAAGTACATGAAGAAGTTCAATGTGCCCCTCCTTGTGACGGGAGGCGGAGGTTACACGAAGCAGAATGTGGCCCGGTGCTGGGCAAATGAAACAGCAGTTCTGCTAGAGCAAACGCTGGAGAACGAGATTCCGGCCAACCCATATTATGGGTACTTTAAGCCAGACTTCAAGTTGAAAATAAACCCATCTATGCTCAACACCGTTGAAAATGCAAACGGAAAGTCCTATCTCAATCTCATCAAGGTTCAGGTTATGGAGAACCTACGCCATATTATTCACTCCCCGAGCGTAGAAATGCAGGAGGTCCCGCCAGACACGTACTTACCAGAGTTTGACGAAGAGGAACTGAACCCAGATGAACGGATGCATGAAGCGCTACAGGATAAGATGATTCAACCTGATGGAGAACTATATGAGGATGACCATGACAACGATCACGACATGGAGGAAGGGTAAGTGGGAGGATAAGCTTTGTGTGTACACACTTACAAGGGCGATGTGACTCTGTCAGTGCATGACACAGAGGTGGTATTGCACGACTTTTTCTTTGGGTTGTAGCTTGGATAAGTGGTGGTGGACTACGGTGGTTTTGTAGACCCTTTGTGCTCAAGAGGCCTGCTAATAGGTGAAGCAGAGGTGGTATTGCATGAGCAGCAGCACATCAGTGGGATGACAGAGGACCGACTTTAGTAGAAAGGGACTGGAGGGTATGCAATTGGAGAGAGAAGTAATTGCGGTCAGATATGTCCAGTGCTGGCCTTGAATCAAACAAGATTCTTGGAAGGTGGCCAGGAGCCCCTCAAGGAAATGGCGATATTGAGCTTCATCTTGAGTCTAGGCACAACTCACGGATCATTGCTGTACCAACTCGCTTAAAGCAACTGTGGTCACATTGCTGAGACAACAAGTAGACTGGCACATCAGGAGGTAAACGGCTCGATAGAAGATGAGAGAGATTAAGTAAGCCAGACACCTGTCTCTTATACACATCTAGATGTGTATAAGAGACAGGTTCAAAGCTGACGGCACCACTCTCAAGTACAACG